AACATACACACACACACCCTCTCACACACAGATGCACATAAGCTAATAGATACGCACACATACACACACACGCTCTCACACACAGATGCACATAAGCTAATAGATACGCAAACATACACACACACACCCTCTCACACACAGATGCACATAAGCTAATAGATACGCACACATACACACACATGCTCTCACACACAGATGCACATAAGCTAATAGATACGCAAACATACACACACACACACACACTCTCACACACAGATGCACTTAAGCTAATAGATACGCAAACATACACACTCTCACACACAGATGCACATAAGCTAATAGATACGCAAACATACACACACACACACCCTCTCACACACAGATGCACATAAGCTAATAGATACGCAAACATACACACTCTCACACACAGATGCACTTAAGCTAATAGATACGCAAACATACACACACACACACTCTCACACACAGATGCACCTAAGCTAATAGATACGCAAACATACACACACTCTCACACACAGATGCACTGAAGCTAATAGATATGCACACATACACACACACACACACACACACATACACACACATACGGATATATCCATAGAGAGGCACACAGAGTTATGATAATGTATATACAGATACTGATATGGACACAGACGCAATGCAAAAAATACAAACACAATCACACATCCACATTCAAATAGACACAAATACTCACATACATTTTATCACATAGACATACATTTATGCACATACATACATACATACATACATACACACAGATGCAACATATAAATATATACAGATAGACGCAAACATGCACACTCACATACAAGTACATATAGACATGGAAACAGATGCAGAAAAACATACATACACACATGCACACATTCACTGTGGTATACACAGATACACATACACAGATAAGTGCAGACACATTCACTCCAGCACACACATCTACACATACACAAATATGTGTAAACACATTCACTTTTGTACACAAAGCTGCACATACACAAATACATGCGAACATATTCACCCCTGCACTTACATCTACACACACACAAATACATGTAAACACATTAACTTCTGTACACACGGCTACACATACACAAATATGCACATTTACTTCTGTACACGCAGATGCATATATACATATACATGCAAGCACACAGATACACATACATTCTTGTGTATGTATACACACAGACAGGCATGCACATGTATATATATATATATGCACAACACACAAATGGAATAACATACTTACATACACATACATAAGCATTCACAGATATGTATGCACACAGAGATATGCAGTAAATGGCATACATATATATGCACCCACATGGGCATGGATTCCTATACAAATACCCATGCACATAAGCATAAAATGTATGACATATATTCACATACACATAGATGTGCAAAGAAAACCAAATGCACTATATATATATATATATATATATATATATATATATATATATATATATATATATATATATATTACAATGAATCATTCATACAAAAATTAGATTAGTAAAGTTAATGATATAAAATGGTGAAATTCGTTCAGAAAACAAAATTTTTAAAGATGCATTAACCTACTAATCACTCGATGAATGTTATGATCCTTGTTTTTTAAATTTCAAGCTGTATAAGTCTTTCTTTAATACACAAGTACTTTCAACTGTACATTCAGTCATCTTCAGGCATGGAAATTATTTTGTTTTTGGTAAAATTCAGGTAGCATCCGAGACAAAAAAATATGCGAATCGAAATATGTTTGTTTTTTTAAATATGTTATTGCCAATGGATACAAACTTTTGTAGCATGCAGATACAACGCTAAGGTTGAATTTTTTTGAAAATTTAAGAGAGTGCGTTTTTTTTTTACTAATACGGCAATTTGAGCATTTTTTTGTTGAAGGAGTTTATCAGTCAATGTGACATGAACTAAATTGTTCAATAAGTAGAGTAATGTCTCAGTTGTTATACCGAAAATTTGCACATTGGATCAGTTCTTTTAAATCAAATATATGGTGCAGTTCAATTTATATTATAATGAATCATTCATACAAAAAGTAAATTAGTAAAGTTAATGATATAAAATAGCACAATCTCAATGTATATGTATATGTATATATATATATATAATGTTTTAAAAACAAGGAATTTATTAATGGTAATAGTCCCTAAGGCCATTTTGTCCAACATCTCATCAGGAGAAAATCATTGGAAAAATTGATAAATTAAATGAAAAGAACAACAACAAAAATGAAGAGCAAAAAAGGGGGGAAACATGCTAAAATCAATAACGTATAAGTATATATACTTATAACGAGGAGGGGAGGGAAATTGCATGTAAATAATTAAAGAGGAACAGTTAAAATAAAATATGCACCAAAGAAATTAAGGGACTTCACAAAGTCCTTCTGCCGCAAAGAGAAGGTTTCAGAATCCTATACAGATTGATTCCAAAATCTTCAAATGATTGTTGGAACCAGCTATGTGAATAATTTTACATATATATATATATATATATATATATATATATATATATATATATATATATACACACATTCTGTGCTTATATATATATATATATATATATATATATATATATATGCACAGAATGTACATATGTAATTTGCATAAATAAAGATATTGAAAAAGTTACATATATACACATAAATGCAGATATGCCTAAATATGTAGATTGCATATAGATATGCATACACAGAGATATGTATATAGACACAACACACTGAAATGCGCACAGCGACACTCACATATGCACACACTGATACACTCAAGTACACATGAATATATGAATAAACATGAATTCACACATACACTTCTGTATCAAAATGTACACATACATAGATATGCATAGACAGGCACATGCAATAGATGCACAGTGCTACAATGCATATATAAACACAAAACACACATACTCACATAAATGCATATATATGCACAAATATATGTATATATTCACGTAACCATGGATACACATCCAGATGTGCAAATGCATAAACAGATGCTCAGTACATTATCACACACAGGCATACACATTGCATATGCATGCAACCACAAATACACCTATATGCTTGTATATACATGCATATTCAATCACAGATATACATACATAGATATGCACGAACATAGTACTATAGCTGGTTAGCCAATCCCTGTAGCAGACACTCGCTCAGACATATTTTTGTTTATTTAATACTCACAGCGCCCATCTGTGGTTCATACTGCAACTATGCTGAGCAGACCTTAGAATTTCTGGGAGAGAGCGTGTTATCTAGCATGATCAACAATTTGAATAAGGCCAGCACACTTAAGCCCTCGGCCACGATGACTTGTGACTTCATGCTAGCACAGCTATCGACAGCCCCGAAGGGTTCCTTTTACCTAAATTCACTCACAAGGCTTGGGTCAACCAGTGGTATGGTTTTCAGGCACTTTCCAAAGATGTTGCACGCTGGGATCGACCCCCTCCAGTCTGATAACATCAGGATGTCTCCTTCCTGACAAATCGACCACGGTGAGTTTTGAACCCAGGTCTCATGGTTACTGTGTGCGTATGCACAAACATACACACATAGTAATGCACACACATGGACAGAGATTGATATGCAATATAGCCCAGGGGTTGAACTCACAATCACTATGTCATCAAATTCACTGCTTTAATCCACTAGACCAGTGCTTCTTAAATTATCTGATATGGCAGACCAGTATTTTTTTCTCAATGTGTCGCATAACTGTAATATTTCATAGTAATATTAAATTAAACCAGAAATAATATATATAATAATATATTATAATAATATATATAATAATATATTATAATAATATATATATATAATATATATATAATATATATATAATATATATATATATAATATATATAATAATATAATAAAAGTTTTTTTATCTTTCATTTATTTTGCAAAAAATAATTCAATATCAAAACATATAAAAAGTAATAAAAAAATAAGCAATTTATTAACACAAAAACAAAAATTTATAACCTTAATTTTTGCAAATGATTCCTTATCATGGCCTGGACACTAGCCATGTACTGGTAGCTGATGGTTCGTGTACCAGCACTGGTCCATGGACCACCACTTTGAGTAGCACTGCACTAAGCTATTGTCAGAGGACAATACTCTGTAGTGAATTTGGAGCCTTAAACCTAACCTTCCTGCTGATTAGTGCTGCTAATATTTGTGTACCTTTATCTTCATAGGTTTGATCACTAGATTTTGGCCAGTGAATGTTCAGGCATTTTTAAGAATTTTTGAGACCCAACATAAATATTGCTGGAAAAATGGTCAGCTCATTCTGTCACATGCACACACACACATACACACACACATACATATATATATATATATATATATATATATATATAGAAGTGAACATTGAAGTCAACTCTTAGAGGCAACAGGCTGTTTCATGC